CGTGGTTTTTGTATTAGACCCGTCGTCCATTTATTTGTAAGTCAATGATTCGGATGCTTATTTTGATTCGAAACGGTGATCAATAGACGGTGCCAAGTAAACTCGCGATGCGATTGTAATAATATCAGAAAAAGCCAATAGATGGCAGCTATTACATTTTTGTCAAGGTAGGCGTTTTTTGTATATACAATAACATGTAATAAAAACACAAAGAAGGTGAGTCTATACTTTTAATATTTTAATTTAATATTCAATGCCAAAACGTTTCTCAGGGTCGTATTCTAGAACTCTATTCAATGCTCAAGTCAGGATTGCACTGGAAACACAAGCACTGGAAATACGACCCTAATGGCAGGGACTTGAGTATGATATCAAGTGCTTTAAACCATACTCAAATCCTGACTTGAGCATTGAGTAGAGTTCTAGAATACGACCCTTAGTTTCGTTAATAAATTGAAAGAAATGGCATCTATACAATTTATTGCAAACTAACAAATCAAAAAGTATTGACAAACCTTCTTGTTAAAAGTTATCTTTTCAACATCGAGTATATAAACGGAAATAGAGACGAAAAAGTCATTTAATTTGTTTGAAAACTATTCTGCCAAACCATTACGTTGACAACTGCGCTCCGATTCGCCAGCCCGAATTCAAAATAATTGACGCGTGTCGTCAATTGTTTCAATTCAAATCGACCAGTTTAACTTGAGCTTTGCTATAATGGACGAAAATTGAAAAATTACATATTTAATATTTAATTACCGTATGTAATTCCGTTTGTTTTGTAATTAGATGTTTTGCTGTTTTCCCCACACCACCGAACGGAACAGCCGCCCATTGTTAGAGATATTAGAAAGCCATTAGAAAGCCATTTATTGCACAATCACAAACACGCATATAAACAAAAAACAAAAATAATAATAAAAACAAAAGGACATTGAGGAACAATAATAATACAAAATATGCAGGTAATTCATCGTCATGCGTGTCGCGACTAGTGCAAACGGGACTTGCTCAGCTTTAGCCACAACCGGTTTGTTTACCGTGTCGTGGCACTGATTTTCAGCAAGCCCGGGCGAGTGAGTCACTGACAATGATAATCAAATCGAAAAAGAAGTAAACCTAAAGAGATAGCAAACCTACGAGAGTAATAGAAATAGTAATAATAATACAATAATAAATATAAATATAACAATGTTGTACATATAACTATATAGAAATACGTAAATGATAATAAATGGATAATGTCTAGTTTTGTGAAGTGTGGCGTCCGCGCGGACGATACAGGAGATCGAAGCGGGGTGCGGGTGTGGGTGACTTTTTGATAGGCAACAACCTGTTCCGATGCGTATGTCTTGCATACCCAAACCGACGCTCGCGTCGCTCGCCGGAGTGTATGACGCAGCAGAATAGTGCACTTTCGTAATGCATTTTTTCAATATAAACATTTGGGTAAGTATTTTCCAAACCATTATATTATTATATAAATTGAATTTATAATAAACATTGATGTATTAATAATGAATTAAAATGAAACAATATTGATTCCCAATAATTAATTGTAAATATGTTTATATTGCAGAGAGAAAAACAACTAAAATCAAAATAACAAAACGATAAGATCCCCACCTAAAACCCGGTAATCAAGCTTGTAAAAAAGTAAAAAGAAAAGAAGGAGAAAAATCTAACAAGCAAAGGAACTGACTGCCGCAGGTGTCGCATATGCCGAGCGTAGAAAACCATTTTGTTTTAACCAGTTTAAATTTGGAAAGGATCAAAGAGTCGCACATTTTTATACGAGTTTCGACACTCAGGTAATTTCTAATATTATAAAGTACCTTAAGCCTATAAAAACAATTTTTGACAACATTCAATATATGGCTCTCAAAACGTAGCTGTTCATCCATAAGGAGGCCCAGGTTACGTGCTTCGCTTACCTGGTCAATCGCTTCACCCCTAATTGCCAGAACTACACCATTACTAGCGATTTTTGACGTTTGCTTTTTTGTACCTAGTATCATCAATTTAGTTTTGCCACCATTGAGTACTAGGGAATTTGTTTCTGACCAAGAAGCTATACTCTCTAAGTCCTGGTTTAGCTTTTCCACGGCTGCACTACTATTGCACGGCTTGCATGAGATATAAATTTGTATATCGTCAGCGTAGATATGGTATTTGCAGTGTTTTATGTGATGCACTACGTCTGCACTATATATGGCGAAAATAATTGGCCCCAAAATTGAGCCTTGTGGAATACCTCTTGTGACCTCACAAGACTTTGATAATATTTTTGAGCCATTCATATCAGATAGTTCAACACACTGGGTTCGGTTTTTTAAGTAACTGGTAAACCATCGAATAGTGGATTCGCTGAAACCATAATAACGCAGCTTTGCTAGCAACAAACTAATATTTATACAGTCAAAAGCCCTAGAAAAGTCAAGTAATGCTAGCAGAGTACCTTCTCCATTATCTTGAGCATGTAATATGTCATCGACTACATTTATCATTGCAGTAGTTGTACTATGACCCTGTCTAAAGCCTGACTGCACAGATGGAAGAATATTATTTTTTTCCATGAACTTGGTCATTTGTTTAACCACAATCCTTTCCAGGACCTTTGATGCGCAAGACAATATACTTATCGGGCGAATATCATTTAAGGTAGATGGATCGTTCACCTTAGGTATAGGCCTAACTACCGCACGAAGCCACTCACTTGGGAATGTGCTAGTTTGTATGGATCTATTTACCATGGCGCAGATAACCGGCAAGGTTGCAGGCAATGATAGTAATAGCATGTCCAATGAAATACCATCGAGACCAATTGCCTTTGACTTTAAGGACTGAATAACTTTAAGTACCTCGGTTTCCTCCACTGTTTGAATTTTAAAAGTTTCTGACACAGAACAGTTATTGTTAAAGTAGGACAGATCAGATAAGGAGGTATGTACATTACCAGGCACTTTTAAAAAGTGTTCATTTATTAAGTCTGGGTCTTTAAATATATGTGCTGGTAATTCTGGTTTAGTTTTAATTCTCACATTATTTTTAATGTGTGTCCATAATACCCGCGAGTCCCTCTGGTTATTTACATAAGTGTCAAAGTAGGTTTTTTTTTCAATATGTAAAGCATTATTCACAATTTTTTTCAAATCTTTATTTTATATTTAAGTCTTTTTCGACTCATTGTAACTGCTTGTACGTACCCTGTTAAGTGCTTCGTCCCTTCGTTTCATTAATTGTTTAATATTGTACGTAATCCAGAGGTAGCTGAAATCTTTTATATACAATATACGAACTGGTGCATGAAAATCGAACAAGACACGTATCATATTAGTAAATTGATCCACCATGTCATTTACATTGCTCAAGTTGGTTAAACTCATCCAGTCCATGGCAAATAGATCCATATCAAAATGTTCAAAATTAATATTTTGAAAATTCCGGCGCATTATTCTTATCGGTGGTGGTTTCACCTTTGACACGTTTAGTAGGCAGGTGATGAACGCGTGACTACTTAGCTCAGGCGTGAAATGAACCTGCGCTAATGTGTTATCCATGTCCGTACAAACCAAATCAATTAAAGTTTCACTAAACTCGGTGAAATGTGTGGGCTCCGATACACATTGAAATAAATTATGACAATGCAGAAAGTTCATTAATGCGGTGGTACTCGTATCTAATTTGTGTAACAAATTAACATTAAAATCTCCCAATAATACAATTTTGTTGCACCATGAGAAACCACTTAGGCTCTCAGTTAGTGCATCAGTGAAGGTATCTAAGTGTAACCATGGCGGTTTATATGCAGTACCCACCAGCAACTTAATACCATTAATGTTTACACTTAGCCACATTTGCTCCACGAGGAGGCCGGCGGATGAGGTAGTATGCGTACAGCGATGCCGCGACGTATATAAAAACCGACCCCCCCGCCGCGTGAGCGAACAGCGACGGGGCGGGGAATATGACATAACCGGTAGCCGGGCAGCGCCGGCGCACGACCCTCCTCCCCCTCCCTCAACCACGTTTCATTGATTGCCATAATATCCACGTCGTGTCGGTGCATTGCTGCTACAAATTCGTCATGACGCGTTCCTAACGAGCCCACATTAAGTAAACCTAACTTAAGTTTACGTTTCATATTGAATTTAAATAATTATAGTTGATTAATACGATATTAACACTGATATGGACAAGTAAATTACGGTGTGGTGCAACAAAATTGAGTCGACTAAGTTCACATTCCATAGCCAATCGAGTGTTTTGCACATGGTTTTGACCACGGCCCTGCCGCTGATGTAGGTGAAGTGCGTGTTCAGTGTATATAGGTTGTTTTAATAACTATATGTGTACAGAATGAGTGTAAAATGATACGTGCGGATTTTGTGTGTATAATGTTGTAAGTATTATTATAATATATGTAAATTGTAAAATATAATGTAAATATGTAAATATAGTCATGCGTTAGATCTATTGCGGCCAATGTAACACGACACGCACGACGGTGCATTATGTACAGATGTTTTAAACATAACAACAGTGATAACAGTGACAATGGTATGGATAACACTACTGGTAGGCTCTTGTTGTCGGGGAACGAACGTTGTCGGGACCAAAAATCTTATCCAAATCCGCTTCACTGCGGATGCGGTGACCAGCGGTTCCGGCTTCCCGCCTCACGTAAATCCTACCATCTTTGGTCCATACAAACTTCCACTGCAGCCTTCTAGCAGTTTGTTTCGCGGTGTAAAATAATTGTCTATTGACTCGGGTGAGACGCTCATTGACGTAAATGGGCCGAGGCTGGCATTTCAACCCCAGACCCTCGGTGGTGAGGTGCCGTCGAACGCGCGCAGCTCGCAGCAGGGCATCCCGCGTGTCCCGACGCGCCAGCCTTACGGCCAGTTGTCGCGGCCGCGCACCCTCCTCACGGCGCAGCGCACCCACGCGTGTGCAGCTTACCAGGTCACGTTGGTCTATCTGCACACCCAGCTTAGCCGCGCAAGCCAGCACAATATGGATAGGGTTTTCCCCACCTTCTTCCGGCACACAGCTGAGTTCGACCTCGTACGACAGCAGGTCCTGGTCGCGCTCATTAATGTCTCGTTGCAGCCTTTCGACATTTTCTTCTAAAGCCCTAATTGTCTGCACAACTTCAGGATTTATACCAGTGGATGTCCCTTGTGCCACCTTTATATCCCTCACCGTCTCCTCCATCTTATCCAGGCGATCTTCACATGCCCTCACAGTCGACCTAAGGTCTACTAGGTCCTGGCGCAAACCCTTCATCTCCTCCCTGGTTCGAATCATCTCTAGCCGGAAAGCACGTAGCTCATAGGCGAGACTCTTGTCAGTGAGTACATCCTTCGGATCGTCCTGCGAGGTGTCTCGTAACTCTTTTTCCTGTCCAGGGCTCTGTAGTTGCGGGGCGATAGGTGTGGGGAATGTGGGTGCCATTGCAGGGGGTGAAGGTGCCATTACGGCAGATGATTGTATTATTTTTATTACAATAAATCAGAATATTTTTGGAATATACGGAGACGTACACACAGGTCAGTTATTGGCGCTGTACTATTTCAGCTTTCTAATTTGTAATTTCAGCGCAAACGAGAGTTGATAAAAAGTGATACAAGGCCCATTTGCCTTATGAGTTGCCATTGACGTATGGCCCTTATTTCGTTTCTGTTTCTAGTTATGTATTCGATGTCTTTTCAAGAACAGTATTCACCAATTTACATAGGGTGCACTATAAGTATCTGAAACTGGCCACATCACCATGGATTCTATTTATGATTAACTCGTGAACATTTTCGTGGTATGATTTTCTACGACTTTAAGTGTAATTTAACAGCTCAGCGGAGCTTCGCTCGGCTTCAAACTGCTTTTGGCGATGAAGCACCATGCAAGACAACTATTTATAGCTGCTTTGTAGAATTCAAACGCGGTCGTATGAATCTCGGTGACGAATTTCGTGATGGTCGCCCGTCCACTGCTGTGAACAACAAAAACATAGATTCTGTGCACCGTGGGATCAAAACAGACAGGCATGTATCATACCATGACATTCGGGCTTCTTTAGGCATAGGTATGAGTCAAATACAATCAATACTACACAAACATTTGGCTGTGAAAAAGTCGGTGGATGCCACACAATTTAACTGAGGCTCAAAAAACGGATCGCGTCACTTGATGCAATGCCATGCTTACCAGATTCAACGAAGGGGCGTCAAATTTGGTGTGGGACATAGTAATAGGTGACGAAACATGGATTTATAGTTACGATCCCAAAACAAAGCAGCAATCGAGCGTATGGGTCTTTCAAGATGAGCCGAAACCAACCAAAGTGGCACGCGTGCAAAGTGCCTCTAAGCGGATGATTGCTTCTTTTTTTAATAAAACTGGACACGTGGCTACTGTTGATTTGGAGAATCGTTGTACCGTAAATACGTGAATAGTGATTAGTACACGACCATTTATTTACCGGAAGTTAATGACAAACTCCGTAAAATAACCGTAAACGCCGTATCATCTTGCACAAATGAATTTTTGAAGGTGGACAACGTTAACCTTATGATCCATCCCGCGTACAGTCCCGACCTGGCACCTTGTGACTTTTATTTATTTCCAAAAATAAAGAATCAGTCACGCGGTCAACGTTTCTCATCACCTGAAGAGTCTGTCGAAGAGTATGAAAAATGTGTTTCAGAGATTGTGACGGAGGAGTGGCATAAATGTTTTCAAAATTGGTTCATTCGAAAAAGTGCATTAACGCTTACGGAGAATATTTTGAGGAACAATTAATTCATTTGTGACCATTTATAGTTTTTTTTTTTTCTTATTCATTCCGTAAACTTATAGTGCGCCTCACGTAATATAAATACATTAAAATGATCCTTCATAATTATTTTATAGTTAAGTAAGTCGACAGATACTTGAACAAGGTCAAATTAATATTTATAATTTTGTTTTTGTTATTCAAGCCTACAAAGGGAGACTTGGAGGAAAGGATTACCGCTATCGGAGCCATGGGAAAAAATGGGTATATTTTTTCCCTCCTTCTACCGATCGGAGGACAGGGAAAAACCGATAATTTTTTTTTTATTATATCAAGTGACGGGACGAACAAGTAGTGCGCCTGATAGAAATGTTCTTTGTGGATTTTCACAACTTTAAAAGCTCAATTGATGCAGTTCGCATTTTTTAGTAGTTAGAATAAATAACGAAAAATATTAACAATTAGATAGGTATATAAAACCAAAACATAAATAAAAATTCCAGCAAATCAGCTATTACGTAACGACTGTATAAGTGACATATAAAATTCCGTAAGTTACCCCATAAACACCGCCATAAAGTACCCCCATAATACCATGGTTTACGAGGTATCGTATAATAGTAAACACCGACTTTCATCATCTTTATGTCGTATGCGAGTCGTTTAGAAGATTTCTGCAAAGGCTCCAAGTCTGCTAAATTTGAATCATTTCAGTTGTGAATCGACAGAGATAGAGTGGCTAGCCATCGAGGTACTATTCAACTAGTATTCTGCTCTTTAATGGCAGTTCTATGGCACATTTAGTAGCAGCAAAGCTCCTTGTAAAAGATTTCTTCCAGGGTAGTAATGTCCGCATTACAGTGTTCCGGTTTTGAAGGGTAAGGGTGCTGGTGAAATTACAGACACATGGGACTTGTCAACTTATGTCTCAGGGTAACGGGCGCAGTGGCAGTGCCCCTCAGATCTATGCTATTTAAAGCTTTGCGTGGCACTGCAACTGGACATGGACAGGCGTTTAGCTTACCATCAGTCACTTATTATAAAAAGAACATCGATGACGTAGTTTACCAATTACTTGGGTTCAAAAGAAAACATTATTTGAAGACTAAATTGCTGCCTAAAAGAGATAAAAATGAAAATTAAATGATAATGAATAAAAGTTCCTTGAATTTTCAGCAGTTCCAAATTTGCACAGTAAACACTGAACTCGAATGGCAATTCTCGCACTCGAAACGGTACGAACCGATTTGTACGATAATCGTATGAACTTGAAAAAAATGTCATACGAGATCAAGTTTAGACAAGTCGAGAATTCGTAAGCATGAATTTCCTTGCTAGAAGTTTCTTTGTGTAAAAGTCGAGGAGGCGATTAAGTTGCTTGCCAATCTCATATGACATAATCGTAGGCGCATTTTTAGTTCTTGCCTGTATGTAAACATTATGATACGATAATCTTATGGCGATTATTGCTAGACATGGGGAAAAGCGTTACATTTTTATCACCGTGACTATCGTTCCAGTTACAAAAATATCACAGTAACAAATCACCGTGATTTTGTCACGCCTGTTCCTTACATCACGATTTAAGATTTTGGCAAGCGGCTACTATCTAATAGCCGTTATTACGTGGTGCGCACTATAAGTTTCCGGAATGAATAAAAAAAAATAATATAAATTGTTAGAAGTGAATTTATTGGTTCTCAAAAAATTCTCGGAGGAAAAATTATCTTATTTACAATGATCTAATTATATCTATAATTACATTTAAAAATAAAAGCGAACTACAATGAGTAGCGTAGTCGCCAGTCTCTGATCGCACCTGTTTTTGTTTGTAAAATACGTCGTATGCGTATGTCGTGATGTGAGTGATGGAGGAAGTTAATGGAACGGAGGAACAACCTAAGTGATTTTGGAATGTCGTTCCTTCGTAAAAAGTCACGGTGATATTATTTGAGGGCTGATCGCTGTGATTTTTTCATCGTGACTTTATTTATCACCCACCTCTAATTATTGCTTGCGATAGTCGTCTACGATTTCTCGCCATAACGCGTGCGATAAACTTTCTCCATCTAAACGGGCCTTGAGAGACTCAACTGCCATTGTGATTTTAGCAGAATAACAAATATTTTCATAATTGCAATATAGTCTCAGTGGAGACTCAAAGGTAATACAATGAACTATGGTTTCAAATGTGCAAAATTAGAACCCTGTTAGTTAGAAATGTGATCAGTCTGTAGTCCAATCTCATAGTGAACATGTGAATAAATTAAAAATTAAGTGGTAAAATTAAGGTGTAATCATCGACTGGGGACGGGTCTCCTTTAAAGAGACGGTTTTATGTCATAGCTCTCTACCTGATTGGGTAAACCCAAAGCGGGTTTAGGGATTAACGCATTTTTAATGTATTTTAAAGTGCGTGTGTTCTGCGTAATGGTCCCAGGTACAATGTGCTGTTTCCAGCGGTCGTAACTCAGTGGAAGAAAGCTTATTTCTCAGTTGAGAGTTCGATGACTTGAGTTCTTGTAGTGACATGTACAGTATACATGAGATACCTGACCCTCTGACATGACTAAACCGACCTTTAGGTTCTAAGAGCCATCTTACGTACTGGACAAAGAAAAAAATAAAGTAATTTCAACTTTATCGCATAAGCTATACAGTGGAGTGTGGCTTGAAGACGATCAACATATTTTTAAAACCAATACTCAATTTCGTCATTTAACATCCAAATAAATTAGTCAAGCGGTTTGTTGTATGGACTGCCAATTACAATACCCCTGGTTCGATTCCACGAGCACTATTTTGTTTTAACGTTATATTTTTACAAGCATTGTTTCACTTTTTAATATTAACGTTGACAAACATTGACTTACAATTATATGGACGTCGGGTCCGCGCTAAAAAGTGTCCGAACTTATAGGGCGTTAAAATCGTATACAGAGCGTCATTCACGCTTTAGTCTTCGTTTGTTCGACTGACAGCGAAGCAAGCAAAATTAGACAGTACTGCGATGACATTACAATTTAAATTCAACGTTTTAGCTTTTTCATATTCCTTTACATGTCACTACGTTTGAATAGGTTGACTTGGGACATTTTTTTCATGGTTTATGTATTAGACCCGTCGTCCATTTATTTGTAAGTCAATGTTGACGAATCACAATATTTGCTCATTAGAGCAAAAATATTGTGATTTCATTAGAGCGGGTGGGTAGATATTATTAATAAAGCGTAGGGTGGGTTTGATGTGGTCTGTAGGATAGATTAACAAATCACGAAAACGCTCAGCAGTTTACATTTATCTATTCAGTTTTAATTACTTTAAAAGTTTTCTTTCTTGTTTTAATATGTGACACTTAACGGAATTATTAAAATTCGAAAATTGCTCAGTATGAACAAGACTTTGATATTCCTTAATAAACTTTCTTATAATGTCATTCGCTAATGAGACGACCAAGGAGTCATACCAAAATAATTTTGATGGCTCACAAGTTAAAGATTAAGTTTGTTTAACAATTGTTGTGCTCAGAACCAAAAGGTCGACGAAGTCGGCATGGGGCGTCAGGTATCTTGTGTATATGACTGTACCCTTAGAATAATAACGACTGTACCTATGAATTTAATTTCTAAGTTATGAACGCAGCAGGGAAGGAAAATATCATGATGAAACCTGTATTGCGAAGAAGGTACTTGATCCTTGAATA